GCTGTGAAAGTTGGACCGTAAGAAAGGCTGAGCGCCAAAGAATGGAGGCCTTTGAACTCTGGTGCTGGAGAAGACTCCTGCGAGTCCCCTGGACTGCAAGGCAATCCAACCGGTCAGTCCTAGAAGAGATCAACCCCGACTGCTCTTTAGAAGGCCAGATCCTGAAGTTGAAACTCAAGTACTTTGGCCACCTAATGAGAAGGAAGGACTCACTGGAGAAGAGCCCAATGCTGGGAAAGATGGAGGGCAATAGAAGAAGGGGACGACAGAGAATGAGGTGGCTGGATGGAGTCACTGAAGCAGGAGACGTGAGCTTAAATGGACTCCAGAAGATGGTAGAGGACAGGAAGGCCTGGAGGAACGTTGTCCATGGGGTCGCGATGGGTTGGACACGACTTCGCAACTAACAACAACAACAATTTGAGCAGGGGTCCCTTCCAACTCTGCTATTCTGTTCTGCTCTCTTAATTCCAGCAGAATTCCTAATCCTCAAAGCACAGCAGCAGGATGATCCAAGAACTAAATGTATTCTCCCGCTAGCAGTTATTCTGTGATATTTCAAGGAAGTTCAGAGAGGGAAACAAAAAATGTCTTTACTTAAATAGCCCAAGCGCCATCGTTTTACACACACACGCGCACAAATACCCCAAAGAAACCATTTTTTCATCGTATCCATTAAGCAGGCCAGCTCATGATTACTATGAAGATCAGAGGCCAAGTTCATTAAAGGCAAAAAAAAAAAAATTCCTCTAAATCATATATAAGGCAACTTAAAAACCTACGATAAATCATTTTATTAGCCAAGCTATTTGCAAGAGGAGTCTGGGAGCAGACACTGAACGTCAGAAATAATGACTGCATTAAAAAAAAACGGCTTCATGAGAAATTTATGAAGCAGAATTTCATTCTCCCTTCCCCCCCACCCCTTTTCTGGTTTTATAGAAAAGAAAGTGTATTTTCCAGGAAAGTATAATAAACCTTGAATGGACCAACCAACCTTATTCTAAAATAAACGAAGCTTGTAAAATCTTAAATGAAATAGGCAGAGTTTGGCTCCTCTGGGGCTCCATGTTATCTTTCATTACACAGAGTCTGAGTCTTTGAAGGTCAACTGAGTCTGTTTATTTCTTCAAACCCGTCCTTATGAAAACTGAAATTCAATTTACCAAAGAGGTAAAAGTCTGGATGAGAAACCAGGAGACCACAAGCTCCCTTTGACATGGAAGCCGGCAAGTGACTTTGAGTCAGTTTCTGTCACTCTCTCAACAGCCCAGGGTGAGGGGACATCATTATGTAGGCCAGGGGTCCCCAACCCCCGGTCCATGGACCGGTACCGGGCCGCGGCATGCCAGCAACCGGTCCGCACAAACAAGCAAAGCCCCATCCGCTGGATGCAGCAGCACACAAAACCTCGCCCCCTCCAGGCCGCGGAAAAACCTCTCTCCACGGAACCGGTCCCTGGTGCCCAAAAGGTTGGGGACCTCTGATGTAGGCCACATCACAATTGGTCTGAAATAGAACAGGTAGTCCTTGACTTACAACAGTTCACTTAGTGACTGTTCAAAGTTACAAGGGCACCGAAAAAAGTGACTTAGGACACTTTTCAGGATCCCCCTGGTCGAGTGATTTATATTTGGATGCTTGGCAATTGACTCACTTTTATGACGGGCGCAGTGTCCCGGGGTGATGTGATCCCCTTTTGCGACCTTCTGAGAAGCAAAGTCAATGGGGAAGTCCGATTCAGCTAACAACCGTGTTGCTAATTTAACAACTGCAGCGATTCAGTTAACCGATGGTCATAAAATGGGGCAAAACTCACTCAACACATTTCTCACTTAGCAACATAAATTCTGGGCTTGATTAGCTAGCTAGCTAGCTAGCTAGCTAGCTAGCTAGCTAGCTAGAGATAGATAGATAGATAGATAGATAGATAGATAGATAGATAGATAGATAGATAGATAGATAGATAGATAGATAGATAGATAGATAGATTAGATAGATAGATAGATAGATAGATAGATAGATAGATAGATAGATAGATAGATAGATAGATAGATAGATAGATAGATAGATAGATAGATAGAATGATTGATTGATTGATTGATTGATTGATTATTGGATGGATGGATGGACGGACGGACGGACAGACAGATAGATATGGATGGAAAATAGATAGACAGACAGACAGACAGACAGACAGACAGACAGACAGACAGACAGACAGACAGACAGGGATGGATAGATAGATAGATAGATAGATAGATGGATGGATGGATGGATGGATGGATGGATGGATGGATGGATGGATGGATGGATGGATGGATGATCGATCGATTGATAGACACAGACAGACCGACATACAGATCCTCGACTTATGGCCATAGTTGAACCCAAATTTTCTGTTGCTAAGCAAGACAGTTGTTTAGAGAGTTTTGCCCCATTTTACAACCTTTCTTTCCACAATTGTTAAGTTAACAACACGATTGTTAGGTGAATCTGCTTTCCCCATTGACTTTGCTTGTCAGAAGTGCTCATAAGGGGATGACCTGGGACAGTGCGACCGTCATAATTATGAGCCACTTGCCAAGCATCTGATCAGGTGACATCCATGGGGATGCTGCAACTGTCATAAACTGTGAAAATGGTCATAAGTCACATTTTTCGGTGGCTGTAGTAACTTCCAACGGTCACCAAATGAACGGTTGTAAGCCAAGGACGACCTGCATTGCCTCTTTAAGGCGATAAGCATGTTGAAGGCCTCAGGTTGTAAAGGGGCCATAGTTCCTCTCCCTCGTTTTATAGCGAGGTCCTCAAAATCACTGACTAAACTATTCAATATATTGAGGTAGCTCAGGGCTCTTTTATGACTCGTGGACTTCAACTCCCAGAATTCCTGAGCCAGCATGGCTCAGCTTGGAAACCTCTCCCTTTCCCCTCAGCATGGCTGGCTCAGGAATTCTGGGAGTTGAAGTCCACGAGTCATAAAAGAGCCAAGGTTTCCCCACCCCTGAAGTAGCTGAACTTTGATAAGCAGTAGGCCTTTTCTATGGAAACAATTCTTCATTTGCAGCCGTTATCTTGGATTTGGATCACACTTCACAACAGGTTCTTCTCTGCCATCCGACCCAAACCACCACACTCTCCCTCAGCTTCAATGTCTGACAGAGAGTGACATTTTACCCTCGGCATCGTGAAAAACGTCATCTCGGCAAACCTCCTTCAGCTGTACACAAGCTGGCTTCCATTCATTCCCAATTAGCACTTCCTCCGCAATAAATCAACCCCACGGGTATACAAGTTATGACAGGGCCCAACCCCCCCCCCCCAAAAAAAAAACTTAGAATCAAATCAGATTCAACAAGGAATGCTTGGGGAAATGACAGGTCTCATATTTGGGCAAATCAAACTTTTATCAAATTCCTCTCGGGGTAGGGGTGGGGAAACAAGAGCAGGAGTGTGCATAACAAAAGAACCACAATAAAGTTTCCATTTAGAGCAGGGGTAGGCAACCTCGGCTCTTTTATGACTCGTGGACTTCAACTCCCAGAATTCCTGAGCCAGCCACGCTGAGGGGAAAGGGAGAGGTTTCCAAGCTGAGCCATGCTGGCTCAGGAATTCTGGGAGTTGAAGTCCACGAGTCATAAAAGAGCCGAGGTTGACTACCCCTGGTCTAGTAGTTGGCCACCATTGAGTCAGAACTGAAGAACCTTCTCAAATGAGAAGTGAAACATTTTCGAGGAAAAAACTAAGAAAGTCAACCTCTTCTCCAAAGCCCCTGAAGTCAGGACAAAAAGCAACGGATGGAAACTGATCAAGGAGAGAAGCGACCTCGAACTAAGGAGGAATTCATTTTTCATTAAACCAGACCAGGGGTAGGCAACCTTGGTTCTTTTATGACTCGCGGACTTCAACTCCCAGAATTCCTGAGCCAGCCACTGAGGAGAAAGGGAGAGGTTTCCATGCTGGGCCATGCCGGCTCAGGAATTCTGGGAGTTGAAGTCCACGAGTCATAAAAGAGCCGAGGTTGACTACCCCTGATTTAGAGGAAGAACTGTTCCAGGATTACTGAATTTGATGACAGCACAAACATGTGCTCAGTTCCAGCCTTCGGCACCGTCTTTTCCAGATCATATCAGGGTTCTTCGGAAGAGGATCAGCTGTCTAGGCCAGAGGTCCCCAAATTTTTGGGCAACAGGGACCGGTTCCGTGGAGAAAGTTTTTTCCACGGACTGGAGAGTGTGTGGTTTTGTGCGCTGCCTGCATCCCACGGATGGGGCTTTGCTTGTTTGTGCGGACCATTTGCTGGCATGCCACAGCCCGGGGGTTGGGGACCTCTGGTCTAGCCCACCACCCAGCCACCAATAAAAGGCCACATGGCCTGCAGATCGTTTCCCAAGAATTGGCCAAGAATAAGGCACATTTCATAACCTTTGAAACTCTAAATCAGACATGTCAAACACAAGGCCCGGGGGCCGGATGCGGCCCGCAATGTGGTTTCATGTGGCCCACGAAGCCATCCTGGAAACAGTGAGGGAACGGCCCCCGCTGCCTTGGCCCTAGCCCAGGCCAGCTGGGAGCCAATGTACAATTTTGTGGTGGCCATCTATGCTGAAACGCATTCAGTCTTAGCTCCATAAGCACCCCCCCCACATGGCCTGAGAGGAACAGTGAGGCTCCTCCAGTGGACCATGCCTTGGCACTTGCCCTAGTCCCACCCCCTTCTGCCAGAGACCCTCAGATCTGTCCCACTCCTGCCCAGGCCCCCCACAGGCCCCCTTGACACGAACGATGTAGAGCTGGCCATACCCACCCAGTAGGCCACACCCACTCCATCCACGCCCACCCAGTAGGCCGCACCCACTCTGGCCACACCCACCCGACCCCCTGAGGGCAACCGCAGTGCTGATGTGGCCCTCAATGAAATTGAGTTTGACACCCCTGTTCTAAATCTTTTGAGGAGCTAGCTTTTTTGTTTTGTCCCTCAAGAGGAATGTTCTTACCTGTCCTTCTCCAACCATCTCGGTATCAATAACGGTGACAATTCCGGGGATCAAGGGACTGCGTCGGCTATTGCTGTGCGCTACGATTTCTTCTTCCACCGTTCCTGATGGCGAAGTGCCCGTCAGCTGGGTTACCACTTTTCCAACCATGGTGAGCCCAGTTTTGATGGTCTGTTAAATAAGCAGACAGACAAACCATAAAAGAATGGCAGATAACACAAAACTCATTTTAACCGTTGTTCTTACTCTGATAGGCACGTCGTTCATCAAAGGCCCAGGACAGCAAAAAGTGAAACCGTTCACATTTCTACATGAACCGATTTCGGATATAAGTAAAACGTGTGGCGAGAAAAACAGAATGTAGTAAAAGGTGTTTGGATTGTCAATCAGCATCAAGTACTTTATCCATATATTTATGTGTTTGTGTGTGTATGTGGAGAGAAAGAGGGAGGGAGGGATGCTTGGATGATAGATGTGGGTGGGTGGGTGGATGGATAGGTAGACAGACAGACAGACAGATAGATAGATGGATGGAGATAGACAGACAGACAGACAGACAGACAGACAGACAGACAGACAGACAGACAGACAGACAGACAGACAGACAGACAGACAGAAAGACAGATGACAGATAGATATGGACGGACAGAGAGAGAGAGAGACAGACAGACAGACAGACAGACAGACAGACAGAGACAGAGAGATTGGATGGATGGATGGATGGATGGATGGATGGATGGATGGATGGATGGATGGATGGATAGATAGATAGATAGATAGATAGATAGATAGATAGATAGATAGATAGATAGATAGATAGATAGATAGATAGATAGATAGATAGATAGATAGATAGATAGATAGATAGATAGATGTGGATGGATGGATGGATGGATGGATGGATGGATGGATGGAGATAGACAGACAGACAGACAGACAGACAGACAGACAGATATGGATAGAAAGAGAGAGAGGTGGATATAGATAGATGAGAGAGAGAGATGGATAGAGTTAGAGCTAGATAGATAGACAGATCCTCCTCCTCCTCCTCCTCCTCCTCTCCACAAACCCCACTCCCTTCTAGCACTGATGATGTTACCTAGTTTGAGTCATGAAATGTCTTCAAGGAAACAACCAAGCTCAGAGAGCATCAAGGACCCCTCACTGTTCACATGTTCATGCTGTAATTTGCTAGAACAGGGACAGGAGATTTGATCTCATCCAGAGGTTTCGGACTACAGCTGACCTTGGCTCCTATCAGGATGGCCAATGCAAGAGATTGCAGGAGCTCCTTGAAACATCTGGAGGGCACCCACTGCCCTTGCCCTTGTGCTAAGCTGACATCTTCAGTTCTACCTCCATCTCTACATTCCACAAAATGTAAAAAATATCTTAATTAGGGAGGAAAATGGACGCATCTCATCTCCCAAGTCGATACTTGAACAAGCACCCAGAATGCAAGTACCGATGCACCGGCCTAGATGTGGCAATTAATTTTCAGATTGCCGTTTCTGCTGATGTCCCTTGTGGCTTTCAGAGTCAATATAGAGGACAGAGATACCACAGAGCAAACCAATAACATACAGACAGGCAGGCAGGGAAGAAAGAATCAATCTGTTTCCTGCCGTTGCGTTCCATCGCCTTTCCTCATTAATCTTAATTTAAAAATAATAATAATAATAATAATAATAATAACATCTTCGCAAAAATCCACATGAAAATGTTACCCCTTCCTCTGGTTTTCCCTCAGGATATTGACATCTACCTGCAATTTAATATTTTCTGAGCTATGGATTGTCTTGGAAGATAGAGGTAATTCCGGTTGGGTCTACTGGTTAAGGCACTGAGTTCTAGTCCTGCCTTACGCATGAAAGCCAGCTGGGTGACTTTGGGCCAGTCACCAGGAGACGGTGAGTTCTAGTCCTGCCTTAGGCATGAAAGACAGCTGGGTGACTCAGGGCCAATCACTAGGAGGTGATGGGTTCTAATCCTGCCAGGCATGATCACATTTTAGACGCCTGGGAACTGACTCACATTTATGACGACTGCAGTGTCCCAGGGATCATGTGATCACCTTGTGTGACCTTCCGACGAGCAAAGTCAATGGGGGAAGCCAGATTCACTTAACCGTGTTACTAATTTAACCACTGCAGTGATTCACTTAACAACTATGGCAAGACAGTTTGTGAAATGAGGCAAAAATCACTTAACAAATGCCTCACTTAGCAACAAAAATGTAGGGCTAATTGTGGTCCTATGTCAAGGACCACCTGTACTGTAAGAAAGTTATCATGTCCCCCCAAACCTTCTCTTTGATAGACTGAACATCCCTAGCTCAACACTTCATCATACGGTTTTGTCTGTCATTTCATTGGGTTGGAATATTTATACTTGATAATATTAATGTATTTTTTTATGCTCTAAGCCAGGGCTTTTCAACCAGTGATACGGGTACCACCTGTGGTACATTGGCACCTGGCAGGTGGTACGCGACCATCCTAGAAAAGTGGTAGCGGGGGAGGGGAATGAGCTGAACCGGTGGCAGCACCGCACAAGCTGGAGCTTGGCGCTGATCCTGGTGCTTCTGCTGAGCCCAGAAGAAGCGCCGATCAGCTGGAATGTTGCAGCACCTCCAGGGTCTTGTGATTTACATTCAGATGCTTGGCAACTGATTCATATTTATGACGGTCACAGTGTCCCAGGGTCATGTGAAGTGACCAAAACCTGCTGCAACCACCCAGCAGACGGGGGGAATACAAACCAAACACCCCCCCCACCCGCCCACTGCCAATCCTCAACAGAAATGTTCACAACAATCAAAACCTCGGACAGGAGGAAGAGCGCCGCCAGGTGGGCAGGCAGTGTCTTGCTCGGCTGTGGCTTGGGGGGCACTTTTTTCAGTGCCATTGTAACTTTGAACAGTCACTAAGCGAACTGTTGTAAGTTGAGGACTACCTGTACTTTATCACTTTTTTCCCCTTTTTTGGGGGGGTCATCATGTTTTTGATACCTTGCTAGGCGACTGGTGGTACTCAGATATTGCCATATCTTAAAAGTGGTACAATGGGTGAAAAGGTTGAAAAGCCCTGCTCTAAGCTTCCCGGGGTCGCTTCAAAACTAGATGGGAGGCCAATAAATTTAATAAAAAGTAATAACAAAAAAGATTTAGTCACCAGAGCCTTTATCGCCTTTGTTGGTCTTCTCTGCCCATCTTGGAGGATACAGAATCGAATGACAGGGTTATGTTCATCATTAGGACTCCCAAAAGTTCAGGATCAACTCCATTTCCCAGGATAAAGGAAGGAGCTTCAAATATAGTGGCAGAATTCCACAAAGCTCCCCGTTCAGATCTCCACAGCAAAGAGAAGCAGAGACGGTCAAGCGGATTCTTATTATCCAAAAATGAGAATATATCTAACCCTCTTTCTATTTTGAAATTGCTCCCAGATTTTGCGCTGGCAATGGAAAACGAAATCTTGATTTATTTATTTTTGCTAATTAGACAGGTTTATTGTTATAGAAAGGGTGTTGCACGTACTGTGGTTCAAAAGTTAAAAAAAGTTGTGATTGTAATGTTGTTATCTTCTATGGTGCTAAAGAGAGTCAGAAGTTGGTGCTTTTTTTCTTTTCTTTTCCCTCTTTACGCTATATTATAATAATAATAATAATAATAATAATAATAATAATAGTAATAAAAAGTTGGAAAGGACCTTGGAGGTCATCTATTCCAACCTCCTGCTCAGACAGGAAATCCTATACCATTTCGGACAAATGGCTGTCCAGTCTCTTCTTAAAAACCTCCAGTGTTGGAGCATTCACCGCTTCTGGAGGCAAGGAGTTGCACTGGTTAATTGTTCTAACTGTCAGGAAGTTTCTCCTTAGTTCTAGGTTGCTTCTCTCCTTGCTTAGTTTCCACCCGTTGCTTCTTGTCCTGCCTTCAGGGGCTCTGGAGAATAGCTTGACTCCCTCTTCTTTGGGGCAGCCCCTGAGATACTGGAGCACTGCTATCATGTCCCCCCTCGTCCTTCTCTTCATTAAACTAGACATACTGAATTCCAGCAACAGTTCCTTATATGTTTTAGCCTCCAGTCCCCTGATCATCTTTGTTGCTCTTCTCTGCACTCTTTCTAGAGTCTCAACATCTTTTTTACATCGTGGTGACCAAAACTGGATGCCGTATTCCAAGTGTGGGCTTACCAAGGCCTTGTAAAGTGGTACTAACACTTCACGTGATCTTGATTCTATCCCTCTGTTAATCTTTTTTGCTTTTCCCTCACCCTTCTTCTAGTTGTCTATTACTCTTTCGAATTTCTCTTTGGTGTTTTATATTTTGACAAACCGATAAGACTTATTATTACCAATAAAAAATAAAAAAAAGACTTATTATTACAGATCAGAATTGGAGGGGGGTAGGGTGGGGGGGAGAAAAAAACCAGATCCAGGGCTGCAGCCGAATCCACAAATCAATGGCAACGGCTTTGTTTAGTGCTAAAAACCTCAAACTGCAGTGATTAGAAAACACATTAGTGTTCGTCAATTAGCAGCTGAGCGTTTGCCTTCAATTATTCATGGGGAAATGACTGACACACAAGACTTGGGCCGGTGTGTGTTGTCAGGAAAACCTCTGCCAAGCCAACAGAACCAGGCGCCACTGGCTATTGACGGCACCGATCCAGCCAGGAAGCCTGATTAACCTCCAAGATGCCTCGCTTGATGTACTTACCCCATTAATGCTAATGGAGATGCTACCACTTAAAAAAAAAAAAAAAAAGGAAAAGGAAAAGAAAAAAAAGAAAAAAAACACCGTCGGAGCCAGCCAAACCTTTATCAAAGGAGAGGTCGGTGGGTTTTTAACATCTCTTAGCAATAGACACATCCTGTCCTTTGGGTCTTGTCCTTCCCACTCCACCCCGCCCCCCCCACCCTTTTAAACCCTTCCCCAGAAGTGGAAGAAATAAAATCCTTAAACAACTGGCACGCGGTCAACTTCTCAGACAAAAAAACCTACACCCCCCACATCCGACAAGTGCACATCATGTTCTCAGCCTTGAGGGGCCAGATCATCAAAAAAAAACCAAAAAAAACCTCTCCCGCTTTCTTTGCGCTTGAATTTAATAATAATGATGATGATGATGATGATGATGATGATGATGATGATGATGATGATGATG